GAAGTTAAAAGAAAAAAGCAAAACCTCGAGGGTTATGAGAAATAATTATAAGTAAAATCGTTTTCTAAGCCTAATTCATTCAGTCAAAGAAGATATAATCGTGTTACAAATAATTTTATGGGTACAACGATGGGGTTTTAGCTCGAATTCTTATAGTTCCTGTTATATATAAGGGATGAGAAAGAACCCCATAAGGAAAATTATTAAGTATGCGGTATATTACTGTAAAAGATTAAGTTCTGTCTACTTCGTGACCGCTATCGATTAAGTGTGATAGAATTGAACTGAGTTCTAACCCTACCATTTCCCCAACTACGAAATGTTTCGTGTCACTATGCTTGTCATAGCTCTCTCCACAGCATCATGTGAATCCTTAGATGCACGTGAATGTAACAAGATTAGTTAACTTATCTCTTAGTTGGGGAGATGAGAAATAGAGGACATAAAAGTACACTGCTTGGGTTGGTCTATCAAGTAGGAAATTTTTCTGATGTTTAAATAAGAATTATGAATTTTGATAATATGTAAGACCACATCAATACTACGTAGTCACATTTACATCTATATGTTACCTTCATTGTCAAAATGCCCTGGTACGGCTGAGAGTGAGGAGGGTCAGCTCTCCCTTTCGACATGCTTCCATATGGCCACGTGCATACAACCACTGCCACAAAAATCCGACTCGCGGGTGATGTGTTGTTTACGAAACCGAAGGGACGGAAAGCCTATGTCCGGCTCTTTAAGCGGGTTGTTGGATACGGAGGAATCACCTAGGGGAGTTTGAAAACCCTGATTTCAAACTTATAGTGCACATGGGTTCTAGAATTCTGGGAGAACGAATGGCGTATGAACCTAATGTTAGCCACCGCCCACCATGAGACTGTATCTCCTAACGTTGCTCCACTACCTTGTGGATCAGGCCTTCAGGTCGAAGGCTCCGGGTGTGACCTTCTAAGAAAACTACCCGCTTCGGTTTAGGCACCCAGGTAGTATCACAGCCTTCACACATATCGAATGTGATTTATGTATCGCATTTGTATTTGGTGCCTCCTTGTACCAATATATATGTGTTAAAATAAATAAACTATCAAACATGATTTCTTTTTGTTGAGTTCTGTTTTTATTCAATGTACGTCGTCTGATATAGTAAATAACGACTTAAGCTATTATACCTAATCAGAAAATAAACCATACTATTTCAATGATAATGAAAAGTCTGATATTCACAATATGATAGTTGAAACCTTCATATGGTACAATAATATATTCTAGTTGCCTAGATTAGATAGATACCATACATTTTATAACAGAAATTACTGTCTTAAAATAAGAAATAGAGACAAAATCGTGTATGGAGTTGTTTAGCAGTAATAGGATAATAATTATTTCTTCGGATTCATAATTCCATCCAATTGAGCCTAAAAATTAAAAAAAAAAATTAATCGATAGGCTACATTTAAACTACCATATGAGAAGTGTTTTTATCAAACAAATGAAATACAAAATATGATGCACATTACTTACTTACTTACGCCTGTTACTCCTCGTGAAGGAGCATAGGCCGCTCACCAGCGTAAGCGTTTTCTTAGCGAGTTAGTTTTCTACGGGATGGGGACGCTAACCCCATGCCCAACCCTCCTCCTTTACCCGGGCTTGGGACCGGCAGCAATCCTATAAGAGCTACAGGCGGAGTTATGATCCACATTGTGGTATATAAATCAAATAACAATGCTTCTTGGACAAGAACATGTTTATTATGTAAATCCTTGAAATCAAATTCATTAAGGGTTACTATGATATGTACTACTGGTGTTGATAGATAGAAGTAGTATGTATCATCAATCAAAAGTGAAACATCTGGTACTAGACAGTTAAAAAGATCGAAAAGAAGAGAACGAGAACAAAGAGTACTTGGTATGGAAACGAGGGAACAATTAACTTTGAGACAACGAACTGATATTTTGTAAATTGAAGTATTTACTGTATGGTTCATAGATTTTACTAAAAGATTCTGTAATGTTGTGTTCAAATACATTCGATTGTCCTCACATATGTTCTCGTCCCCTGAATTACTACTATTCAATAAGCAAGTAAATGTATCAACTACTTGATAAGTAGCTGATGTATACGAGAATGAGAAAGGCCTAACCAATATTGGAGCAATATTTATCTAAATGTATATGAAATACATCGTATTTCTTTCCATACTATTAACTGCTAATCTACGAAAGCAAAAGAGATGGAAAAGGCGGCGACTATAGGGAATACAAGACAGCTTTACAGACTAATAAAAGAAACTGGAATTAATAAGTCAAATGTAAGTGAGATTATAAGACGATACACTCATCTGCTCCCAGTCCAGACGTTTAGAACGATGGGCGGAACATTTTAGAGAACAGTTTAGCTACTCTACAACTACCCTCCATTCCCAGACAATGTGAATGGAACATTGAAGTAGGTCCCCCAAATCTAGCAGAAGTTCAAAAGGCTATAGTTAATCTGAAACGAGGAAGGGCAGCTGGTCCAGATGGACTGGCTCCAGAGGTCTTTAAGTATGGTGGCCCAACTTTAGCGATTAGGTTGACTAATATTTTAGCTAAGATCTGGGAATTAGACTTTATCCCATCTGACTGGTCGCAATCACTTATCGTCCCAATATATAAGAAAGGGTCAAAATCATCTTGTGACAACCACAGAGGGATTAGTTTAACAAACATAGTATCTAAAATACTGGCCTCGATAATTATCAAACGCCTAACTAAGACTCGTGAAGTGCAAACACGAGAGAACCAAGCTGGCTTCAGACCTGGTCGTGGCTGCATCGACCACATATTCACCATTCGCCAGGTTCTAGAACACAGACATACCTATCGGCGTCCGACGATGGTGGTCTTTCTTGACTTAAAAGCAGCATTTGACTCGGTAGACCGCGAGACTCTGTGGCAGTGTCTGTCATTGAAAGGCGTACCTCAGAAGTACATAAACCTTGTGAAGGCTCTTTACTCGAACACTACTAGTCGAGTCAGGGCTTATGGCGAACTGTAATCTGAACTGAATTCTCGGGTGTTGATCTCCTTCCAGGAGGTCCACTTATCGACTTAGAATACGCAGATGACATAGTCCAGTTTGCTGAAGACGCTGACAAAATGCAGAGTCTTCTGGTAGCACGAAGCAACAATGCCAGAATGTTTGGAATGCGCTTCTCTCCCTCTAAATGCAAGTTGTTGCTTCAGGACTGGTCTACGTCAACACCTGAACTAAGGATAGGGAGTGAAGTAGTCGAACGCGTTGACAACTTCACTTATCTTGGAAGTCTGATCAGCCCTAATGGGTTGGTGTCTGACGAAATCTCAGCACGGATTCGAAAAGCTCGTTTGGCTTTTGCCAAATTACGTCACCTTTAGCGAAGGCGAGATATCCGTCTATCAATGAAAGAACGAGTATACTGCGCGGCAGTCCGTTCGGTTTTAATTTACAGCAGCGAAACATGGCCATTAAGAGTAGAAGACACTCGTAAGCTATTAGTATTTGACCACAGATGCCTTAGAAATATTGCTGGCATCTGCTGGGATCACCGGGTAAGTAGTGGTGAGGTTCGACGCAGGGTATTAGGGAATGATGGTAAATCAGTTGATGAGGTTATGAATCTTCATCGACTGAGATGGTTGGGCCACGTGTTACGTATGCCTGAATACCGATTACCACGACGTGCAATGCTAACCGGTGTAGGGGATGGTTGGAAGAAAGTTAGGGGCGGCCAAACCAAAACGTGGCATCAGTGCTTGAAGTCACTAACTTCTAGTCTGAGCCATGTTGGTAGATGCAGACTACTTGGTTGGGGTCCGCGTGACTTTCGTAACCAATGGTTGGAGACTCTCGGCGACATGGCTCAGAATCGATCACAATGGCGTCGGTGTTTACACTCTTTGTCTTCCCTTAAACTAAGAGATTAAAACCACTTCATATCTTTCTTTCTACGAACTAATTCTTTCTTCCTATACTATATCCTTATCGCAACCTTTGACTTAACTACTCCTATGAATCCGGTGTCCATCTTGTTGTGTTAATGAGGTATGGCAACCTGGACCGATGCACATATGTGCCTGGTCCTACGTTGTAGCTGACTGACTGACTGAACTGCTAATCTATGTAGAGATGATGTTTGAACGAATTGAGTTGCTTTGATATTGTAGAATAGAAGTCTGACTATTATATATCAACAATAAATACTATAAAGAATATATCATATTCCTTATTCATCATTTTGATAATCCATTAATAAAATGTAAAACAATGATTACATACATTGTCAATTTAGATTAACTAACCTTTAGTTGTTGATTATTACGTTTTAAAAATTGTATTTCATCTTGATGTTTCTTTTCTTCTAATTGTCTTTGTTCTGCTGCACGTTTTTCAATTTGTTCACACTTGGTTTTTAATTCATATACTTGTCTTTCTAAATCTTTCTTCTCTTGTTCCAAATCACTAATCTATAAATAATATTAATCTAGAAATTATCGATGACTATAAATGCTTGTAATGAATTCCTGGGTATTTTCTTTTATTTATTTATTTTAACACATAGATATTGGTACAAGGAGGCACCAAATTCATATGTGCCACACAGATCTCACTTGATATGTGTGAGGGCTGTGATACTGCCCGGGTGCCTTAACCGAAGTAGGTGGTTTTCTTAGAGGGCCACACCCAGAGCCTTCAACCTGAAGGTCTGATCCACAAGGCAGTGGAGAAACGTAAGGAGATACAGTCCCATGGTAGTCGGTGACCAACGATTGGTTCATACGCCATTTGTTCCTTCAGGATCGTGGAGCTCATGTGCATCATTAGTTTGAAATTAGGGTTTTCTAACTCCCCTAGCTGAACTCCCCATGTCCACCAACCCGGTTAAAGCTCCGAACATTAGCTTTTCGTCTTCTCAATTTCGTAAACAACACCCCGACCACGATAAGGCAGTGAGTAGGACCTTCCTGACAGATGCTATATACGCGTGGCCATGTGAGAGCATTTCGAGAGGAAGAGCCGTACTAGGGCATTTGGGGGCATATATATCATCAGTGATTTTAAATTTCTACTTAATTCTCAAGCAGAGAAAGACTTATAAGTACATTGGTTCTATTCTCCAAAAATTATTTGACATCCACGTCTATCACTAATTATCCTCATGGAGATTTCACTATGTTGTAAAGGATTTGGTGTTAATGTCGATTAAATTTTCGCACGATCTAATGACACTGATCCACCATTTATAAGATCAGAAGTGTGTTAATGCTATTTACACCTTATTTAAAACTACTAAAGTAATAATATATTAGGAAAGCATATTAATAGATGACAATATGTAGTACAGTCGCGTAAAAAAGCTAGTGGCAGTGGAGTTTAGTAGCTTAGTTCAAGTAAAAGCTCTTGGTATCTGCCATGATTCTTGATCGTGTTTAGTGAACTTAAGTGCTCCAAACTTTAAATCTATCAACAGATAAAGAAGACTAGATGATCTACCTTGGACTGCGAATGAGCGAAACATATTGTGAATACAGACAGATTACTGAATATGGATTACTTATTTTAACGTCAAGACCACCTTTGTTTGATATACTTTCAGTAGATAAAAGATTTGCTCAAAATAACCCGTGTCTATCAAGTTCGCTTGAAAAATAAGCGTTTTTCAGTCAAAGATACTATTCCTCATCAGCTAGAACCTGGTATGTTCTTTCCCACAGTAGGCCGTTGCTGATGATATCCGATCAACGGATATTGAATGTCTTGCGCAGACAACTATCTATAAATACTTATACTCTCTTGATGATGGTTGTAGTAGTTCTCCACGTTTCAGTTTCGTAAAGTAGGAATGTCTTGATGTTTGTGAACTACGGTTATTGTTATCGTATCTATTCTTAAAGCTATAATTCTTTCTAAGTCAATTCAATTTTAGAAGAGACGCAAACACCACGTTCAGTCAGACATAAGTAACATAGGACTCGAGACATATGTTGGCCGGGTTAAGCTGCTACACCACTTCAATACTTGGATTAAATTGCAGAAGGCTTGAATGTCTACGTACGTTTGCAGAATTCTCAGTAAAATGGGGTCCAAGTATTGCAGTAAGAGTGTCAACCAAGTGTCCCGATGTCAACTTTGAGAAGTTCGTGTTCCTGTGTATTTGTAGACCATGGAAATAAGACACCCTAGCTTGAAGCTGAAAATATGCTTCAATGAGTAGTTTCACGAAATACTTATTTTGTTATAAAACTACAACCAAGACTAAAAATAGATAGTTGAAATACGAGATTGTTATTTTTTAATTAAACAGTAAACAAATCTCTGATATTCGTGAAATTGGTAAACTGGTGCTGATTTGACTGAGTTCACTCAACCATGAATATGTAGATGGTTAACCACTGTTTCGATACAAACTTGTTTTAACCAAGACACACTATTTAAAAATATATGGAAGTTTTAATATAGGAATATCTTACCATTCGTTCCATGTCAGCTTTCCCTTGTTCAGATTGAAGAGCTTTACGCATGCCGAATGCTATGCTTGATTCATAAAGTGTCTGGTATGCTGCTATTGTCATTCTTATCTCGTCACGGACGCGAAGGAGAAGCAAACCCCGTTCAGCGCAGTTAATAGTCACTTGTCTTATTAGTTCGTCAAATACCTGAGAAATATTCCATCTTAAAGAGCGTTTTTGTTACTTGATTGTATAGTTCTCTGCGGACTGGGCATATTCCAGTTTCTCTAGCTTGACGCTGTTGCAATCGTCTATCGAGCTCTTCCTGTAAATTAACAACGTCAAGTCGTGTTGCTGGGGTGCTTGAAGCACGTTGAATCCATAGCTGACCGTTTTCACTCCACTCCCTTTATAATGTGATGCATAATTTTCAGATCTACCTTGGCGGAAGAATCGAATTCAATATTTCTTCTGTTTGTTGGTTGCTTTTAGCTTCAACTAAGGATGTCTTTCCTCTGGGTGAAACACAAGGTTTGTTTGAAGAGTCTGTAACTGGATGAGTTCCCTTTAACGTAGGTGCCTGAAAAAACGTCTAAAACTTTCTATTTTTAAGCTACCCCGGGAGATTTTTTATCTGAATTTTTAGTAATAAGTAACGGATTGTCATATTTTATCAAAGAAACATTCAGTGGCATCATGTTCCTATTTGTCTGTGTCTATTCGTAAGGTACTTTGTATGCCGAGGAAATGTGCACAATTTTATGTGAGAACAGCTGTAATATATAAGAAAAGAGAAAGAGTTAGCCCATGACTCAGTGAGAACGCAGAGAAAACTTAAATTTTTTAAGCAAAGCTATATATGGTAATCATCAATATTATAGAAATAAGACACAATTTTTATTCAGAATTTAATGTGCTAACGAGAGATTACTAATTTATGATCAAGTCAAAAGTGGAGTTATGGAAACGCTACATTCGAATGGTTAAAACAATTTTCAAAGCCAGTATAAGTACAGTACATTGACAAAACGAGGCTACTTATTATCCAAACAGAAAGCGTAATTTATATACAGAAGAACCAATAACAAATAGCAATGTGATTGCAAAGGTTAAATAAGTTTGAGTAAAAAAACAGAAATGTATTTTGTAATACTGCATAAAGTAAAATAAATTTTGATATTACTAACATAGTTAAGGTACCAAAATAAAGCGCCCGTGCTCAGATGAATCTGAAATCAGCAAGTATACAAGAAATGCAAACGATGGCGTTTGAAGTTCGACTGCTACAGAGTAACAACAGTAATATTAATACAACAGACTGATATCATTGGGTTTGCTACTTGTTATCATAGTGCCGTTCTGGGTATCTAGTAATGTTCAGTTTATGATAGTCTAGACTTTTGACTACACTAATTCTAGTAGGTTTGGTAGTCAATTGTGGATATGTACATCTTGCAATTTGATTGAGTTCGCTTGTCTCAGAAGAGTAAGATTTCTTGATACCAGCAGCTGTCACATTACCAGGCAAGAAACTGGATTGTTGCAATGTAAGGATAGTAAAGTAATAATTTGAGTGCGAAGAGAAGACGACGACTCCAAGGAGGAATAACTAATTGGTAAGGTGTAAGAAGACGGAGCCGAAAGGATGAGAAGGGAAACGGAGATGATAACAAAGGAAATGGAAAGTGGTCACTGATGTATGGTAATGATAACCACGGCAAGTTGTAAGACATGCATCAGACACAGCTGGCCGAAGAGGGAGATGGTAATGCATGGGTTAGTGCTTGCCAAGTCTCCTCTAAAAGCCATGTATCGAGGGGGTGATAGTCACTTCGTATAGGAAAGCACTCCAAATGAGGGCGACTAATGGTGATAAAAGGTAAGAGTGTATCTGGGTGTTCGCTCTTTGATGTGCAATCTTCCGAGGGTTGCCTCAAGGGGCTTAATGACGATGTTATTGTAGTGTGTTTGCTAGCATCCTCCATTCCTTTCCTATCTCATGGCGTCATACACATATTCAGTCAGTTCTGTACTTCTAATGGCTGCAACAAGTCTCCCATTAAATCACTCAGAAGGGGTTATATTCTGCTTGCTGAGGCTTTGTGGTAGAGTGTTCAAGTCTCCAAACAGAAGTATTAGGCTAGAATCCAGATGATGTAGCTCTAGCATCCCTTGTATTATCCCATCTTCCGGGAGTTAGAAGATGTGGGGGCCGACATTTCTCTACAATCAAGTACTTTCAGCCGTTCTCATCAAAGCAACATCGGTATAATTCTATCACTTCAGTTAGTTCAGCACTGTGTTATCATAACTTTGAGGTGAATGTTAATGTATATCGCCGCTACATCCGTTTTGTGCACCTCATCGTATCTGGGAGTTGTCATGCCTTGAATGCTCACTTCTTCCTCCATGATTTTTAGCGATAGACGCGTTCTAAATAGGACTGTATCATTGATCATTTATTCTTGAAACACCGACCAGCGACGATCCGTAAGACGTTGAGCGAGAACACCAAGACTGTTACAAGTGGAGGTCTGTTCACCTCGAATACATGACAACAACTGTAGTGGAGAATACACCGAATTCTATACTGATTTGTACACCCATTTGATTTTCGATTACGAAAAAGTTACATGTATAAAAAAATTCTCCGAAATGTAACAAAACCACATACCACATTCCACGCTGAATGTAGTTCACGTTAATTCAATGCAAAAAATATAATTTTTGGAATAAGCATCACACCGAAATTAACACATGTATTAAATTGAAAAATCATCATATAGAAGTGAAAAATTACTGTCAAACATGTATAGCAATGAGTTAAAAATATAACGTCGTCACTTAGTACTGACACGTCACCTCGCTATTTTTAAAGGATTATAAGAAAGGTTTTCCAACGGTTTCCACCCGCCATCTCATATAACTACAAACGTTTGGAAGGAGAAAAATGCTCATGATTGGACATATTATTCGTACTTGTAGTTACAGTGCAAATACTGGTCGCAAAGCTATTACTGTGCATACTACCCAATAAAGAGGGAGTAAAATGTGAGACAATTTAAGGAACAAGTATGCCAGACGAATGTTTCAAAGAAGGAAAATAATAAATATAGGTGAACATGTGCTACATGATGTTAGTGAACACTTTACTGATGCAAATATGATCGATCTGGTTCTCCGTGAAGTGGTCCAGAGGTATACATGTAACTTTGTGCATGCGTTTATGTCACCTATAACCATTTTGTTGAGCGTATATAAATTTGCAAGTCTCTCTCCATTCTCAATCCTTTTCCCCAGTCCATCTCGTCTTATGAGATGTTTACACTCGTGTTATTCACTCTCACTTTGGCGTTTAGGTCCCACATCAAGATGGTCAGGTGCTTTCCTTAGCACTTTGTAATGATTGATTGCAGTCTGTCGTCGTTGTTATAACATCGGACAATGTTATAGTGATTCCACCCTCTTATTTTTGAGTGATATTTTGATGATCCTGTATCCGTGACATTTTCATCCTATGGGTGTTTTACGCGCCTCTATAGACAGCATTAGAGGAACCTCCTGGTTGTGCGTAGCGTGTTCTTCGTAAACGGAGTAAAGCAGCAGCGCTTCCGAATTTATCCCTTGTTGTCCAGCTTGGGTCCAATGTGTTCTACTGGTTCCGAGCACCGCCAATTTGTATCTTTCCGTCTTTGTAGCTATTTGACTGGTCTACCCGGAATTCAAAAATGTCCGGATGTTCCATGTACTTAAAGTATTATTTGCTCTGGTTATTATAAAGGCAATTAGCCTCATAGCTTCCAAAAGAACTATGGTTCTCACTATGGGCGCCATAACTTTTCTAAATACAGATTCGTCAATTTCAAACACTGAATTTATATGGATGATCTATAAAGATTAGGGTTATTAACCACGCAACCAGTTGTATACAGTTGTCCGGCGTAGCGAGCGACAGTAGATCAAGAAAAGCTCTTGGTGGAGCTGATCGAATGGATCTGATAAAAGAATAGCTTCATTACATACTTGTAGTACTTGAGGAAGATTTCGTCAAATAGTGAGAGATAAACATAAGTCCCATAATTGGCGAATCCGTGGTAACATCAACTCCTAAAGTCACCATCCTCGAAGCTAACTGAGAAGACTTACATTGAACGCTCAACACTTGGAAGACGTGAACATGGAAATATGTGGTTGGGACACCGTGGTTCAGTAATTCAGATGTGGCCACCTTTTGCTTTCTGTGATGAATACATAATTCTATCCCCAGCCCAAATATGTTTTTTTGGGTTCACATAAGGTACACTACCTACTGTCATGGTAAAAAGAGTTAGTGTAGACGATGATGTGACTTCTATGTAAGATCTTATGAACTAAACAGTCATATCATAGCGACTTCACAGTATAAGATTATTTTTATTATTCCATCCATAAAGCGGTTCAGGAGAGATCTAAATTAAGCAAGCGTTCGACGTGACCGGATATCTAATGGCAACCTATTCCAGAGGTTTGCATAACGTGTGACAAACAAAGTTAACATTAATTTACCTGATTTTCTCGATATTTTTAGCACAAAATCCTGATTTTGAAGGTTGGAACTACTACTTTTGGCAAATGCTAAAGTTTCATAACTTACCGTAGTTTTATTACGTGATATTTCGAAATTTAAAAGTGAGGTTAAGTTTAACCCGTTTTGACCGCAACTGATGCGGTTTCTATGCTTCTCATTTATACCTATATCGTAGGTCGGACGTGAAAAATCTTGCAAAATGAAGTTGTACCTTCTCAGTTTCTACCCGGTCAATGGAACGCATGTAACTTAATATAGTTGGGAAGTATTCCAGTAGAGGCTAAACACGTATCTTGTATGGTGTTATTTTCGATCCCCTCAAGTGAAAATTGCGGCTGACGAACCCAATAAGCCTGCTGACTTTTAGCATTTGGGGAATGAAAGACTTTTGGAGTATTTCACTTCAACTTGTCCGGGTGCTTATTGGTGGGTTGGACGTGTCGAAATACTTGTACTCAGATTTTTTCGTGCTGAGAAAATCCAGGCATCACATCGGTTTTTGAGTTGGTCCAGATCTTTTTGTATCATACGTCTGACATTTAAACTGGGACGTGGGTGGAATATACATACCACTTTAAGGTCGTCGGCAAACAGAAAGGTACAGCCAACTGTAAGGTCATTGAGTATGTCGTTAACCTATATGATGAACAATAGGGTTCCAATAACTGTTTATTATACAATAAATTATTCTGGGTGACATATTACTCATGACGTTTTGGAAATAAATCTTAGTAGTAACGTCGTTTGTGTTGCACTTAGATGTGACGGAGGGGTAACCTAAGTTAGGTGCTAATCATTAGATGTGACTTTATGTTGGCTGGTTGATCATGCCATTCCTGTCTAACTTGAGTAAGCTCTCAGTCATTCGACATAGATCATCATTTTTGGTTATTTATTCTCTGAAGAAGTTACTTACACTAAGTCACGAAACGTCAGAAAACCCATTTTTCTACTCATTGGGATATTACAAATATATTATTTTTTTTTACAGATCATCTACGTTAGTGATCTATATACTCAACAAAATGTTCTGTTGCTGACATAAAACAAGAGACTGTTTAGGCACCTGTCCCGTCATTGTGACTTTATGAGAGGTTATTCGTTTTACATATTCTTGTGAGTTACTGCGGG